GTGACTTGAGATAAAAACCAAATTTTTAAAAATATTTCTTTAAAATTGTATCAAAATTAGGCTAGTTTCTGGTAAAAACACTGAAGCTCAGGCAACTTTTTGGGGATTTTTTTGAGCTGGCAACCCTGCTGAAGCATCTAACTAGCAGACATTGGACCGTTGAAGAAATTTGAGCTAAAAAGAGTGTCCACTATGACTAAACACTGACATGCTCTATTATTTTTTTGGCTTACATTTGAATAAATTTTGCTCAAAAATTAGTTAAATCAAGTAAAACAAACAAAATACCATTATTTTGATTTGTTTTTGTGATTTTTGGCCATGTTTTGACAAAATTTTGCTAAATAATTGGTTCTAAAATTAAATTAAATCCAATTTTAGAAAAATAAAAAAAAAATTGTTTTCACACTACACTACACTATTTTTAGCTTAAATTGGTAAATTTTTGGCTCGATTTTAACGAAATTATGCAAAATACTTGCGTTTCCAGCTGAAAAATTAACTTAAACACTCGACAAAAACAAAAATTATTTAATTTTTTTCGATTTTTTGCTTTGGTTTAGAAAAATTTTGCAAAAAACTGAACTTTTTTAAGTTGAAAAACATGGTTAAAAGTTTAGGTAAAGTAAAAATAACAATATTTGCGACCAATTTTTGCGATTTATTATTTTTGACTAATTTTTGGTCAAGAACCAGTTAAATCGACTAAAACAAAATATAATTAATTTGGATTTTTTTTTGTGATTTTTGACAAAGTTTCGTAAAATAGTTTTGAGTCTTTAGTTCAAAAACAAACTAAATCTAGCTAGAATAATTCAAAACATTTCTTTAAAATGGTATTACTATAGCTAGTTTCTGGTAAAAACACTGAAACTCTGGCAACTTTTTGGGGATTTTTTGAGCTGGCAACCCTGCTGAAGCATCTAACTAGCAGACATTGGACCGTTGAAGAAATTTGAGCTAAAAAGAGTGTCCTCTATGACTAAACACTGACATGCTCTATTATTTGAAAAATGGGTGCGGAACGCAGGACGACTTCGGCCGCATCGACTCGGTCTAATTCATGCAAACTGGTTATAAGAGCACCTGTGACAGATTTAGTGACCATCTACATACCACTAAAAGGTCTTCTACTTTTACCTATTGAACAATCGGCTGTTGTCAGCAGTCTCATCGTGTGGCTGGAATGTTGCGAATCAAGGGCGGCGATTTTGTCCTGACATAGACCCAAACGGAGCGCCAAAAGACACCAATCGCGGCCGTGGGGCTCCGGGGGGTCCAGCAGGCCGCACAGTTTCAGTTTGGTGGGAGGGGCGAGGTCTTGGATCTTCAGGGCGCAGCCCCAGTGGATGTTGCTCGCCAAGTCCAAGTCGTCTTCAAGAAATTCAGCATTTTTGGCTTTTTTGACACTTTTTCAATTTTTTTCTAAAAATTTTGCTAAAATCGTCTAGGAAATTACCATATTTAGTTCGTTTTTGAACCAAAGACACATTTATTATCACCAAAGACTCATATATTATCAAAAAAAGCCTAAAAACCACAAAAACAAAATCGAAATTAGTCGAAAATAGTGTTATTTTAACTTTTTTCAAA